TTTTGTTTTTTTTTTTTTTTTTTTTTGGCCATAGCTTTTAGGTATTCCAACAATTTGAAAATTAAATTTCATTAATCTGTTTTTCAAGTAAGTTGTTTTTTAGATGAGATAACTTACATTTTTTCTATTTATTTTTAATCTTTTGGTTTTTAAAATATTTCTTATGTTTCATGGAATCATTTGGGTCCATCCTAATATTCAGGGAGTCTGTTACTTGGGTAAAGTTTTGAACTTTTTGTGCTAAGATGTTAATGTTCTGAGAACTGATAAACTCTGAGTGCAGATTAAAGCACACTTTTTAAAACTTTTTTTTCATTTTTTTTGTCTGTGTTTTCTTTTGCAACATGGCAAACGTGGGAATATGTATTGCATGACTTCACATGTATGGTCAATATCAAATTGCTTGCCTTCTAAAAAAAGGGCAGGATGGAGGGAGAGAATGTGGAACTCAAATTTTTAAAAAATGAATGTTAAAATTTTTTTACATGTAAACATTTTTTAAATGTTAATATTCTAAGTCTCTCCTCCATAGCTCCCATTTCTTATCCAGTGCTTTCTTCTATTGCTTTCATTTCATTTATAGTATCATTTTAAACTTATATCATTTCTTTTGGGAATTCTAATTGAACTTGTAGGCAAACTATTTTTCTTTGAGACTTTTCTTGTAGGTATTTTGGAATTACTCTCCAATTCTGTTTATGTGTCTTGGGCATCACTAGCTTAATAATAGCTCTCTCTCTCTCTCTCACTATATACATACACACACACACACACACACACACACACACACACATATATAAAATTTTTTGTTTGTTTGTTTAGTCATTTTTCCAAGCAATCTGCTCTGGGCAACCCAGTATTGCTGGCCTAGTCAAGAACTCAGGGAATTGTTTATGATCTCAGATCATCTGGCAGATCCCTGAGTTGCTGTCCAGGATTGAAGCTGTATCTATCTATAATCTTGCTCTGGGAGATCTCTTGCATGGGGTTTTGGATTCTGAATCCATAATTCTGGTTCCTTCTGAGAGATCCTATGCTGTTGACCTGGGTTGGACGCTGAGTCTGAGATCAGAACCTTTCAGTGTTCCCATGCTGCTGGCCTAACTCAAGGATCTGGGTGCTAATTCTGAGTTGTTGGTCTCCAGGGGAGACTTTGAGCTGCTTGCCTGGGCAGCAGAGGGAGGTCAAATCCAAGATCAGCTCTGGGCCTCCTCACTCCCAGCTCTGGCCTAGCTCTAGGCTCTGAATGTTGAGTCCATGATCCCAGCCTACCCCTATTCCAGTCATTTGCCTGTAGGTCCATTTTGAGATATTAGGCTGAAAAGATAACCCACTGTAGTTTCTTCTTTAATTTTTCTGATCACTATCTAGTGTAGTATTCTTTGATCACTGTTGCAGTAGCTATGGGGAGAGATGAGCTGTACTGCTTTCTCTTACTCCATTGTCTTGGGCTGGTCTTCTGTGGCATACATTTTTTGATGGGCAAATGTCACTCTGTCAATTGGTTTGGCTGGATTGCTTTTCCTTTTTACAAAGAAGGATTCAAGGGGTGGTGGTGGGGGTTGAGTGATATTTTAGGAAATGAATGTGGCACAGTACAATTAAGTACATTTATATGCCACAATTTGTTTAGCCATCCCCCACTCTGCAGTATTTTTTTCCCCAGATCTTTGCTAGAACCACTTTTCATGAAGATTTTTAAAGAGGACCACAAGAGGGCTGTAAACCCTCTGTCCCAAAATAACTTTTGCTCCTGATTTCCCAATTTCCCTGCAGGGCTTAAAACCTCAGTCATCCTTGACTCCTTCAACAAAACCCACATTTAATAAGTCACCAAGACTTACTCATTCCTCCTTTGAATAGCTCTCTACTCTATCCCTTCCTTTTCACAAACACAGTCCCAGCTCTGCTTCATGCCTCATCATCCCATACCTAGATATTGCCATAGCCTCTTGGTCTGCCTGTCTACAACCTCTTCTGTTTCTAAGCCATTCCACTTGTGGTCACTAAGCTTCTGAAGGTAACACTTGGATGGTGTCCCTTCCCTCTTCAAAGACCGGAAGCTGTGCCTTGATGCTTACTGAACAAAATCCACACTAAGCCAGCTATTCAAGGTCATTTGCAATCTAGCCCCGTTTACATTTCCAACCTTATCTCCCAGCACTTTCTTATAAGAACCTGGTGTTCTAGTCAGTCTTGATTATTTACCACTTTGTTCTTGTTTTTCTCTCTGCCTAGAATGATTCTCCTCTCCCCATCTCTAGGTTTAAACCCAGGTCCATCCCTCAAAACCCAGCTGAAATGCCAGCTCTTCTATAATCTGGTCCATGCCCCATCCAGAAATGATTACTCCTGCCTCTGCCCTATAGAACAGAATCTATGGCCCCTCTGGAGCACCTACGCATACTGTCCCATATTGTAAATGTCTCCTAATTAGACTGTTAACTCTTTGAGGTTAGAGACCATTTTGGGTATCTTTCTATTCCCTTTTAGCATCTATTACAGTGATTTTCATTTAGTAGACAGTCATTTTCTTAGTTTGAATGAATAACCCAATGTATGTATGGGCAGGGAAGAGGATTAAATGATCCCTTGGAGAATTTGTCTGGACTCCATTTCTGTCTAAAGTTACTCAATGCCATGAGTCTCCCTTTTGGAATTCCCTGCCTCATTTGATTCTTGCTTTTCTCTGTAAATCCCACAGGAAGATGATCATTGACCAACATGAGAAAGAGATGCGCTACCTCCAGGATGTTTACTTGGCCATGGAGCAGAACTTCCTGGACACTGAATATGAAGCTAAGCTGGAGTTCCAAAGCATGTGGGATGACCTCAAAAATAAGGTATAGTAGGCAGGCAAGTGGGAAGGAAATAGGAGAGCGGCCTACGCCAGACAACTGGAGATGGAAGAAATCCTTTCTTTTGTCCCAGACTATTAATAAATACTTCAAGTGTCCACAGAATTCTTATCATTTCTGCTGCTGTTCCTAAATGTAACCCTGCTATGAAGCATTAGTATCTATTAAACTCATAGGAAAATTAGACAAAAGGGGAAGCTCAAAGTCTTTATTCTCACAATGAGATGACAAATGGGAGCAGTTAACCACAATTATTTGTTGAGTGCCTACTATGTGCTAGGCACTGTGCTAAGCATGGGGGATACAAAGAAAGGCTAACCCTCCCCTGACCCCCACCAGCAAAAAAAAACCCAAAACAAAACAACAAAACCCAGTCCCTGCACTCAAGAAATTCAGACAGCATGCCTCCACCTATGTACAAACAAGCTACATACAGGACAAATCGGAGGTAACCGAAGAAAGAAGGCACTGGCATTAAGGGAGATCAGGAAAGGCTTCTTGCAGAAGGTAGGATTTTAGCTGGGACTTGAAAGAAATCAGGGAAGCCAGGAAATGGAGATGAGGATGATGACAAAGGAAATCACATTAGTAGAATTTTAGAAGTGGAAGGGATAGATAACTAGAAATCATTTTCTCAAGACTCTTTTTACAGATGAGGAAACCAAAGCCCAGGAAAAATTAAGTTATTTATCCAGGGTCACATAGCTGATGATAGTCAGAAGTAGAGCCCAGGTCTCCTTGTCTTCCAGTTGAGCATACTTTCTTTTATACCATTGCAAGCAATGCTAATAAAGGAAAGCAGAGGTAGGATGGCAAAGTTGCTACATAAAATGCTAGATTTGGAGCAGGGAAGATCCAGGTTTCAATCCTGCCTCTGACACTAGCTTTGTGGCTTAAACTCCGAGGCCTCCATTTTCTTTTCTTTTTTTTTTTCTTTTGGCCTTCATTTGCAAAATGGGGCAACTTACAATGAGGCTCAAATGGGAAAACATTCCAGCATTATATACTGTATTATAAGTGTCCAGGATTAGGGAAGAGAGAGGGCATTAACAGTTTGTAAAAAGTGCTGCTTATTTCTGGGCCATTTTCTAGAACCTGGAGGAGAAGCATTTTCTACGAATGCAGTTAGAAGGCACAGTGGAAGATCTGTGGAGAAGGTTCCAGGAGGCACTAAAAAACTACACTGATGCCACAGAAGATCGGAAGCTTGCCTTTGAAACCTTGAAGGCAAGGGATGAGAAGAGCTCCAAAGAGATAGAGATGCAGATGAAAAAACTGCAGAAAATCCAGGTGGGCACTGTTAGCCAGAAATTTCCGGTCTCCATGTATGACACCTCTTGTTCCTATCACAGAATTTGAAAGGTGGAAGGGACCTCAGTGGTCATCCAATCTAAGCCATACATAAAGGACTCTCTACTATAACATACCAACAAATGATTGCCCAGCCTCTGCTTGGAGAACTCCAAGGAGACGGAGCCCACCACCTCTGAAGACTGCCTATTCCACTTTGGGGTTATATGGTTAGGAACTTTTTCCTGATATCAAGCCTTAATTGACCCCTTTGCAACTTACATCCAAAAATAAACACAGATATCATACACCTGGAGTCTTCTTTTCTCCAGGTTGAACATACCCAGTTCTTCACATGGCATAAGGCCAAGGTTCTCACTATCCTGGTTACCCTTCTCTGAACACTCTCTAGTTTATCAATGTTCTTCTTAAACCAAAGTGCCCAGAACTGAACCCACTACTCTAGATGAGGTCTTGACAGAGTATAATGGGATTATCACCTCTTGTCCTGGAAGCTATGCCCCTGCTAATACAGCCCAAGATTGCATTAGCTTTTTCCATAGCCATATCATGCTATTGACTCTGACTGAGCTTGTAGTCGGATCTTTTTTTAGAATAACTGCAAGATAGCCTCATCTTAGGTGTATGGTGTTGAGTTTCTTCTGTACTCAAGTGCAAAACTTTATATTTATCCCTACTGAATTTCAACTAAATAGATTCAGCCCAGAATTCTAGCCCAGAGGTTCTTAACTTTGTGTAATGGGTCCCCATGGTAGTCTGGTGAAGCCTATAGACCCCTCCTCAGAATGATGTTTGTTTCCTACATTTATAGTGAAGGAAATGCTAAATTTCAGTTAGAGGTTAGTGAAAATAAACATGTCATTTCCCCCCATACAAGTTTATAGGTGCTCTGAAATCTATCTTTACCTTGGGGATCCATGGATTATAACACTTAAGAACTCCTGCTTGGGCCTGTCAAGATTTTTTTTTTTAGATCAAGTTTCTGTTATCCATTATATTAACTGTTCCTCCCAGCTTTGTGGCATCTGAAAATTTGATGAGCATATCATACAATGCCTTTATCTAAATCATTGACAAAAATATTAAAAAGCACCAGGACAAGTACAGATCCCTGGGGCACTCCACTGGAGACCTCCTACCATACTGACATTGAACTATTAACACTATTCTTAGAGTCTGGCCATCCAACTACTTTTGAGCCCATCTGATTGTCCATATCTCTCTATCTTCCCAATATAGCAGAATGAGATTCTTTATCAAAAGCTTTGGTGAAATCTAGGTAAACTAGATTTCCACATCATTCTCCTCCTCTGTTAGTGTAGTAATCCTGTCAAAAAAAGGAAACGAGGCTAATCTGGCATGGCTTGTTTCTAATGAGGCCATGCTTGCTCTTTAAAAATAGTTTCCCTTTTTGGATAGTTACCAATTATCTCTTTAAATGATCTTTTGGAGAATTTTGAGTCAAGTTCACTGACTTATAGTTTGTAGATTTGAGATGTTTTTCTTGTCATCCTGTGGTTCCGCTCCCTTTTCAGTGATCTTTCAAGTATCAATCAATCAATCTCAACTGAAGGTATAGTTCATCTGAGTCAGGTGACTTAAAATCACCAAAGGCAGTAAGTATTCCCTTCATGTTTTCTGATGTAGCTTGGTTATCAGCTCAATGTTAGTCTTTCATGATCTATCATTTCCAGCACAAAGGTCCAAACCCCTTCACAGAGAAAATAGAAACAGAAGAATAACTGAGCAGCTGTGCTTTCTCTCTTTTGTCAATTATCATTGTTCTATCCAGTGCAAGCAATGGTCCTGTCCCTTCTTCAATCTCTTTTGTCCAATATAATTTTAAAAGCCTTTTTTGTTGTTCTTGGGTTCCCTCGACAGCCACAGTGCATCCTGAGCTTTAGCATTTTTGACACTATTTTCCAGGACCATGTCACACTCTTACATTCATCTCTTGTTATCTGGCCCTGCTTTCTTGTTCTGGTCATTTCTTTTTTCAATGTGAGTTGGTTGGTGAATTTCCAGTGCATCTGTATTGGACTCTTCAGACAAACCCCCTATTTTCTACTCATTGAAATTTGTGTCTTCAGAATTTCACTCTTGAGCATCTCAGTCTGTCCTGACTTGAGGCTGACTTACTCTGAAGCATTTTGGTCCATGGGATTCCAGGTCTCTTTCCTCTGAACCCACTGAAATCTACTTGCTCCAAATCTAGGACACATGTCAGACTGTACTCAGTTTTCCTCTCCTTTATCACAAACTCTAAGATGGAGCAGTCACTTCCCCTTGAGGTTCCTATCATTTCCACTTCAGCAACTAGCTCCTCTCTGTTAGTGAGAATCAGATTCAAAACAGTTACTCCTCCCTGCCCTGCCCCCTTTTGCTGATTCCTCCACCTTATGGAGGATGAAATTATCACTGAGGCAACTCAGGAAGTTTTGAGATGCTCTGCTTTTGATGAAGAGAGAACTCTAGCAGATGTCTGGGTCACCAAAGTTCCTTATCACGACCGTATCATGACTCATGCCAGGTTCGTGGTCTGTTTCCCAAACTTGCCACTATTTCTTCTTTCTGTCTAGGTAGATCATAGTATACTGCAATGATAAAATCACTTGCATTTCTCCCTCCTTTGGTCTTCATCTAAATACTCTGACATACTACCTCCTCTTGTGTATTTCATTGTAAGGATACCTCTTTAAAAAAACCACGCTATCCCATTACCCTTTTTCACCTATTCTGTTTCTTTTGAATAAAGTATATCAGTCATGGTTACGAGGCAGCTAGGTGGCTAAAGCACTGGGCCTGGAGTCAGGAAGACCTGAGTTTAAATCTGGGCAAGTCACTTAACCTCTGTTTGCCTTAATCCGCTGAAGAAGGAAATGGCAAAGCACTCCAGTATCTTTATCAAGAAAACTCCATGGATAGCATAGTCTACGGTGTCATGAAAAATTGGACACAACTGAATGACTGAACAACTGAACAACAACCAGTCATGGGTTTCATCAAACTCCTACTATTGGTTCTCATTTCAGTCACCAGACCTGTGACTGGGTATTCTCCAAGGCCTGGATGTTGGGATCTGTCTCTCCTCTAGCCTGTTTTTCTTGAGCTACAAAATGAAAGATGAAATAGTGTTTCTAGCTCTTAGATTTTGTTTCTCTCTGTTAACCAGGATTCCATTGCTATCCTGCGGGGTAAAATCTCGGCGCACACCCATGAGAATGAGGAACAAAACCAACATATTCGTGAAGACAAAGACCTGGTCCACAGGCAACTTCAGAAACTCAAACAACACATGAGTCAAGCCCAGGCAGAGGCCCGGCGCAATCTGGCCAAACTGACATGGGAGAGTAACATCGCCCTCAAAGCCCTGAAAAAAATTGTTGAGAAGGTAGGGATGGAATGGGACTACCTAACCCTTTATGCTCCCATGTTGCCCTTCTCATTCTTCCCTCTTCCAACATTTTGGCCCTCTACCCTGGGTTTGTGATTATCAGAAAGGTTTCCCTAGCCCCCTTTCTTAATTCATAGACACCCCACCCTCTATTCTGCAGGGAAATCTCATCCTCAAACTTGCTGAAATATGTAGGAAGTTTGAGACAGAGGAAGAGAAAGTCCTACCCTTCTATTCCTCAATGTTGACACCAGAAGAACTGAAGGAAGTGGAAAAAAATGATCATGAAGAGCCTACAATAGAACTGGCTAAGGTGAGCTGTCAGAAGAGACGGCCAGGAGGGAAAGAAAGGTAAAGGGGATTCTGGTCAATGGTCCCAGCATTCACTTTACCTTTTTTCCCCTAAACTCCCAGTTGATGGAGAACTTCACAGGCTTGGAGAATTTCTGGAAAAGGTATAACAAGGTAAAGTTGGAACAATTAAGCCTACAGCGAAGACGGGCCCAACTGCTGGAAACCAATGAGAAGCTGAGGCATATGCTTAAGCAGTACCTGGATGGTATCTCAGTGAATGATGAAGTGCTGAGCCAGCTCAACCCACTCTTTATCATCAACCAACGTAGCAACATCCCCTCACCCCAAACAGATCACTCACAACAGCAACCTATCTATAACATCATCGAAGCTGCCCATGTGGTATCCCATACACTGTGACACCTTGCCAATGATGTCCACAGGGAACCAGCCTCTCCCTAACCCCCAAATACTTTCCCTTAGTCAATAGAAACTTGATATTAAAGGTTTCCATGAAAATCTTGGGTATATCATAGCTTTGGGTTTCTTGTGAAGACAATGGTTAGAGTCAAACTAAACTATCGCTTTCAAGGAAAGAGGGTCATATACCAGGGATTATAACCCTAATAGACTGAATGTGGTTAGGTGGCTACTAAGAAGTCCACTTATTGTGGCCTTATAGTAGAACCTTGACTTCAGTCCTCAACCTGGCCCCCAAGCAATCTAGAGTCCCTGGGAGGCAATAGGCAGCCTCTACCTTCTGGATCTAGATTTTTAATGGAAAAGCCAAGGTTGAGTTTGGGATGGAAGATGGGACATCCCCCCTGTTACCCAAGGTCTAACTCTGAAAGACTCTACCCACTTTCATCCCACTTACAAAAGCAGCCCAGAAGGAACAGGCAGATATAAGGGAAGAAGTTTTATTTTTTTTTGCTTTTGTTTTTCTTCTCCTCTCTGAGCTTCTTCTTAGAGATCTTGGGGATGCTGGCTTTGCTGTACAGGTAGTAGCCAATGAGACCCAGGAGGGCTGGTACCAGACACATGCCCAGAAGAGGAAAGAGAGTTTTCACCAGTTTTTGCCAGTAGCTGGCTCGTACCAAGGCGACCAATTCCACCTCAAACTGCAGCACTGCATCCCCTAGGGAGGCAGACAGGGTTTTAGTGTCAGTCACTAGACATATTACCAGTGAATCAGAACCTGAAATGAAGATTGGGCCACAGAAAAACCAAGGAAGTAAGGTTAGGAAAACTTTAAAACTTGTGCTCATCGTCCCTAAAACTAGAGTTGAAGGAATGACAGGCTATAAGCAGAAAATGGTGATAACACAATAAAGAGTCCTGCTCTGAACCTCCTCTAAGGCTAGCTTAAAGCAAGGAATTATCTCAGTACTCTCAATCTCTTTGCAAATCTAAAAACAACATGGAATTTTGTGTTAGGATCCTCTCTATTCCTCCCTCTCCAAGTACAGTCAAATGGGTGGAATCTGCAGCAATTGAAAGTCACTGGAGATAGAAGTGATTTAAATCCCAACTACTGAGTATGCCCAATCTGAATGCTAGAATTCCTGTAGGCTCTTCCTAGGAATTTCAGTATATTTCAGTAGAAGAGGCTTAAGAAGGATGAGAAGGGAGAAGAACAGAAAAAGTAGTCAAACGAGCAGGGAGAGAGGAACAAGAGAGTGGGTTTGGGAGAAGGGGAGCAGGGATAGATAGGAGCGAGCTGTGGATAAAGATTTCACCCTAGGTCTACAACCATTTCCCTGTCCCTACTCCAGCTTGGAAAGAGGATAAGAACACTGGCCCCAAAACACTCTAGAATATTGTAGCTGACAGAGCAGATGAAGCTGTATAAAATGATGCATGCTAGACACTGGCAACTATTTGCTGAGAGTTTTAAAAATGGTGGCAATAGCTTCTCACAGAGGGCTTTTTTTTTTTTTTAAACCTGCTTGGATGTGATTGTTTGGGAGAGAAAAGTCATAGATGGGAAAAGTAACATGGGGAAAGGTTTGGGTCATAAGGAAAACATGGGCAAGCAGGCCCTTGTGGCTCTGAGAGGCCAAGACTGGCCCCAGCAACCTTGACAGATTATACTTCTTTTTGTCCTGAGCAGACAAGCTAACAGAAGAGGATGTGAAAACTACAGACCCAAAGCATCACTCCCTCTTAAAGAACCAACCAACCCCTTTCAAGATGTAACCTAACCCAGCACTCAGGAACTCAGAATTTGGAGGAATCCTGGTGTGTTTACCTGGGATAGATGGGGGGAATCCACGTTTTCCATAGGCCAAGTGAGGGGGAATGATTGCCCTTCGCTTCTCTCTAAGGGAGGGAACAAAAGTCAAAGCCAGTGGGCAGGAAGGCCTCTCAAATCCTGCAGCATTCCCGAAGCCATCCAGATAAGTTATGCTCTATATCCATGGATGGACATCCCAAATGAGCTCCATCTCTTCCACCCAGGCACCAAAGAGTGAACAGTCAAAAGCCCAAGCTCTCCAAAATTTCTCTTAACAAAATAGCTGGGGAGAAGGGAAGAAATATGGGCAATGGACCCCCTGTAGGATGTCTCAGTCCTGACCCCTGGCCAATGTTTATCCAAGGTTTTTTCTTTATTCTTGCCTCCCTAGTTGCTTTATTTTCTACCTCATCGCCTTAATGACTGAAATGACTTTCTGCATTTGAGGTTTCAGTAATAGAAAAAAGCAATGTTCCCAGGACCACCCCAACCCAACAATACTCACCCCACACACATGTCCAGCAGGCTCTGTTCCAGGCCTTAGCAATGGCAGGGAAACAACCAGGGAAAAGACACAACTGAATGGATATATAGGTGGAGTCAAAGATTCTCCCACTCCTCTTCCCTCAAAACATAAAAACCTTGGTTCCCCTCCCTACCCTTTCAGGTCTCTGACTTGGGATTTAGGAACAGGGGAGAAGGCATGGACATAAAGAGTGAGATTTGTATTACAGCCCCTTAAGCTGAAGCATATACTTCAGAATCGAAGTGTTTTTGTCCTCATTTCATCCCCACAACAAATCTGTTTAGAGAAGTCCAGCATAACTAGGTCCAAGAACCAATTCCAAAAGCAGTTCTTCTGAGTGGGGTGGGGACCACAAGGCTTCTGTGATTTGTCCCTTGCTTTCACTGCCTCTGGAGGGCCAATGCCAGATGCCAACCTGAGGTATCTTACTAAAAGACAACTAGAATTTGGGCAAAAACCCAAATACCTGGGATGACCTGCTTTTGGCCAAGCTCTATAACCAAGGGGTCCCTGGTCAGGGAGGTGTCAACTATTCGTCCATCTTCAAGGCTGCCCTGAGGGAGAAGACATCATCAGCAACCACCAAGACTATTTTCCCCTGGGATTGAATACACCGCGCCCCCCCCCCACGCCCAGCCCCTTCCCTCCCCCAAGCCTCAGTGAATCCACACCTGACCCCACTGGGAGGCAGCCTTTGGTTTATTTGCTCAGGCCAAGGGAGGGCAGGCAGGAGAGGGAACCCAAACAAGGTTCGACCCTACTCACAACAGTCCTAGGAGCCACCCGGAGCGCGGGGGGCCCTTGGGTGGAGATAGCAAGGCCTCCCCCGCCACTTGCTGCGGGAGCGAGAGGAGGGGGCAGGGGCAGCTCCCACTCCCGTAGCCCCTCGCCACGTGTCCCAGCCAAAGCTGACGTGTTTCTATGGGGCCCCACCCCCAAACCCAGACTGGCTCCTCACCGTATAGTGAATGTGCAGCGTATCTCCCAAGGCAGCGGACTCACTGCAGGCCTCCGGGGGCTCCACCTACGACAGAGCACGGAAGGCAAGGCTCGGTGGGAGGGAGGAGGAAGGTGATGCCCTGGGGGGCTCCCCCGAGTTCCAGCCCGCCCTCCCTCTCCCGGGGATCCACGGTACTCCAACCCTCAACTTAGTGCCGAGCCTTCCCCACCCCAGGAGGAAGGGTCCGGAGGTGCAGGGGCGAGTGCCCTCCACTCACCAGGATCTCTAGCTGGAGGGTCCGGATGGAACTTTCAGTTTCATCCCCGGGCTCAGCGAGGCTCCCCGTGCCTCCCAGCAGCAGAAGCAGCAGCAGCAACAGCGGTGGCTGGAGCAGGAGGAGCTTGGGTGCCATGGCAGGACGTGGGGCGTGGGCACCCGTGGGTACGCGTGGGCAATGGGTCGTGCTGCCGGGGGTGGGGGGCGGCAGCGAAGAAGAGCGGAGAGTCCTGGGAGCCCCAGCCAGGCAGGACAGGATGGGGCGGAGTGGGCTCCTCCTCCGCCACCCCTCCCTGTGCCCGGACCCCGCCTCCCTACCAGTTAGGAGACGGTAATGGGGAGGTCCTTCCCCTCCCCGGAGAAAAAGAAAGAAGGAAAAAAACCACCCCAAAACACAGTAGCAGATCACGGTGGCCTCTTGACCCACACCTAAGCCAGGTTTGTTCCCAGTGAGGGGTCTCATGAAAAGCACCACCTACCCTCTGCGCCAGTTTCCCCCAGTTTCTGGACCATTTCTACCACCCGTGTTTCCTGCTCTTTGGAGAACACATTGGGAAGCGTGGAGGAGAGTTTCCAGTTAGGATTGGGTTGAGTGGAAGCCTGACTCCTCCCACCTGGTTGATACCCAGCTGCTGGCAGGGGACCTGAGGATATTCTGAGGCCAACCTGCAGGAGGAAATGGCCCCGGGGCAGCTCCAAGTCTTCCTGCGGAGCCCTACCATCTTTTCCTCTTTCCTATCATTATCATAGAATCACAGTATTTGAGAGTTGGATGGGACCTTTGGTGGCCACTGGTCCAACTCATAACCAAAAGGAATCCTCATAAGAACACAAATGGCCATCCTGCAGATGAGTGAAGACTTCTAGTGAGGTGAAACCCATTGTGTACTGAGAGAGGCCATCCCCCTTTTGTACAGGTACCCTAAATTTGTCTCTTTGCAACTACAATCCATTGCTTCTGGTTCTGCCCTCCGAGGTCAGAGATCATAGTCCTTCCATATGACAATCCTTCAAATACTTGAAGACAGTTAACATGTTCTCCCTGAATCTTTTCATCTCCAGGCTAAACACCCCCAGTTCCTTCAGCTGGCTTTCATCCTGGTTGCCCTCCTCTGAATCCTCTACCGCTTATCTTTCTTAAATTATGATGGCCAGAAATGAACATAAAACTCCAGATGTGGTCTGACTAGGGCAGAGTACTGTCACCTCCCTAATCTTGGATGCCAGGCCTCTCTTAATCCAGCCAAGGATTACATTAGGGTTTTTGGCTACCACATCACATTGCTGACTCAGACTGAGTTTGTGGTCCAATAAAACATATCTTTTTCAAACTGCCATATAACTATGCATCCTCCATTTTGTACTTTTGTAAAGTTGAGTTTTTTTAACCCAAATGTAAGACTTCACATTCATCCCTATGAAATTAATCTTACTTCAGTCCAATGGTGTCCAAAGTGGAGTGCTCCCATCTCCTGGGGTATCTGAGATTGCCTGTTGGGGTCCCAGACAACCAATGGGAAGGTGAGTTAAATCTGATCTCTCTGGTGATTAGCCAACTGAAGGGCATTGCCTTAGATACAATTTCCCTTCACACACTATCAAGCAGCCCTCCCAAACTGTGCTTTCTTCCACCCCCTAGCAGTATGAAAGTGAAGGGGGGAGGTTCGAAGGGGAAGAAATAGAGTGGGGGGAAAGAGAGAAGAGAGAGGGAGAGAAAAAAAAGACAGATGGGCCAGGGAAAGAGAGAGACAGACAATAGGCAAGGCTAGTTTAGACCATGGAGGAGGCAAAGGCAGCTTAGCCCGGCAACCTCATCCTCTGGCTGGGTGAGCACATGTGCAGATATCATGGAGCAGCTCAAGATATGGTCCTTGGTAAGGTTTACACTTTGTTCATCATTCTCATCGTTGCTTTTTGAAAGTTGTGGTATCACAATACTAGTACTTTTTTCTTTTAACATATTTTCATTTTTCTTTTGTTTTATTGATTTGGTTCAATTTAAACATATATATGTATATATAAAATATTACCATGTCTGATGCACCATATGCTAGTCTTCAGATTGGGGAGGGAGTCATCCCCAGAAAATTCCACTCTTCATTGCAATTAGGTATTTATTTTGTAATAAGCAATATGTAAGTAGACTGTAAGCTTCTTGAGGATAGAGACCATCTCCTTTTATATTTACAAATGACTTGTTGAACTAAATTGAATTGAGACAGAAGGGAGTATTTTTTTTTTTCTAGCTGGGGTGAAGGCTTCATGAAGGAAGCAGGAAATCATAGATATAAAACTGAAAGGGACGTTAGAAGACATTTAGTGCAATCCCTTCATTTTTACAGATAAAGACACTGAGTGAGGCCCAGAGAGGTCACAGAACCATACTTGAGCTAAACTTTGAAGGACAGTCATAGACAGAGGTGGGAGCTTGGGCAGAAGGTATTAATGCTATCTATCCACTTCAACTTTCTTCATTCTAGCCTAAATCATATTGTGTCTTAGCCCATTTTTCATTTGGTTTTTGTTCATTGCTGGGTTCCTCTCCTTTTTGAAGTGCTTTGACATAAATTGTTCCGTTTTTTCCCCAGCTCAGGAAATTGCTTGAAAATTCTGTTTTGTGAATTTGGGGGGAAAAGTGTGGGTAGTATATATTGTGAGGCTTTATTTTTTGAAGGAACAATTTGGAATTGACTTATCAAATGTTCTTTCAACTTTCTAAAAAACGACACATTCTAGAATTTTTCCCAAGGGTTGAACCTATTGGTCTTTCTTTTCTGAAAATCAATAACCAACATCTGCTGTGTGTCTGCTACGTATAGGGCACCGTGCTAGGTAATTGTGGTAGGTAGGCATGGGGATACAGAAAGGTATAAATGGTCACTTTTTTATGTATTGTCTCTCCTCCTGTCCCCCTCCCCATTAGATGGTGAGGTCCTTGAGAGTATGAATTATTTACGTTTTTCTTTTTGTATCTCCAGCATTTAGCACAGTGTTTGACATAGTATAGACTTTACAAATGCATGTATGCATGCATGCGTGCATGCATTCATTCATTCATTCATTCATAGCACTCCAAAATCTGGCCCCCAAACAACTTTCTAGCCTTACTTCCCTTAATCTATTCTATATCATAATCAAACTGGACTACTTGCTGTTTGCTGAACTGTTGTCCTGCTCTTTCCTAATCTGTACTTTTGCTCATGATGTATGTACTCCATATCTGAAAGGAACATATCTGATTATTAAAATCCTTTTCATCCTTCAAGGTATGGCCAGTCTATGTAGGAGAAACATAGAAAATAGGTCTTAAGCCTTAGGAGGGATTCCTAGAGTTAAAATCTTTGATGGTTAAAATTTCTGCTCATTCTTTTCGAGATAGCTCAAGTTAATTACCCCAATTCCTATACAGGGATTTCAACATCTGCCAGCAGGGGGCAGCAGGAGCCCATAGAGGAAACCAAAATGGATGCAACCTATATACGAATACTGAAAGATTGGGAATAGGTGGGTTGAGTTGTTGCTAGATAAAAGTCTTCATAGCACACGGAAAAGTCGGAGAACGGATGTTTTCTGGTTACTCGGGCTCTGAATCTGCCCATTCTGGGTAGGGGTGCAATTCCTAAGATATTCTCCTTCCCACTTCCTCCCTTTCCCCCAAGAATATCACCCACTCCTAGAGAGCATCCCTAGTAACAGGATTCCTTCTCCTGTGAAGGAAAGAAACCCTGTCCATCCCTATAGCTTCCTGCCCCCTTCCCATAGGATTGCGGTACTTTCTCAGCTTGGCCAAAGCAATTTACTTCAGTTGGAAAGGACTTTAGAGATCATCTCCCAGCCCTTTATTTTACAGATGAGAAATCTGGGGCCCAGAAGGGTTAACTTGTCAAAGATAACACATTTAGCTCTATCTAGTAAGGTTGGACTAGATGACCTCTGAGATCTCTTTCATCTTTAGAATTCTGACTGTCACAGGCCTGAGCTATTGCAGGTAGAGACAGATCCCTGTCCTGTAATTATCTCTGTCCTCTCCACCAAGAACTCAGAAAGGGACTGGAATTTAGGACTCTAGGAGTTCAGATTCTCCAAAATGAGCCCTCTATCTCTTAATTTAAAGCACCTTAGATCTTAGCTCTAACCCCAGGGTGGGTAATTATCAATTTAAGGGATGCTAAGTAGATATGGCCATCATTAGACCTCGCTTAACCAAGACTCTCCATGTCCAAAAACAGCCCTCTTAATTGGGGTAAATTGTGGGGGTGGATGGAGATAGGTCATATTGGTCTATTCTGAGGAAGAGATCTCTATACCCTCATACATCTCAACTCCTCCTCCATCTGAACTCTTATCTTTCCCCACTTCAATCAATCAACCAATCAATCAATCAACATGTATTTATTCATTTCCTACTATGTGCCAGGCACTGAGCTAGGTGTTGGGGATACAAGTACAAAGAATGAAACAATCCCTACTCAAAAGGAGCTTACATTCTAATGGGGGAGACAAGTACATATAAAAATATATACAGCATGAATATAAAGTTAATAGATACAAATATATACAAAGTAGGTAAATACAAGATAATTAGGAAGAGAGGGCACTAACAATTGTGGGGCATCAGGAAAGATTTCATGCAGAAGATGGTGCTTGAACTGAACATTAAAGGAAGAGAAAGATTGTATGACTTGTGGATAAGGAGGGAGTGCATTTCAAGCATATGGGATGGCTAGTGCATAGGCACAGGGAAGAATCAAATGTGAGAAAACAGAGAGAAGGCCAATTTGGCTGGATCAGAGTGAGGGAGTAATGTCCAAGAAGGCTGGAAAGATGGGTGGGGATCATGTTGTGTAGGGCTTCACAAGCCAAACGGAGGATTTTATATTTTATCCTAGAGGTAATAGGAAGCCACTGGAGTTGATGGAGTGGGAGATTTACATGGTCAGATCTGTGCTCAAGGAAAATGGGCAGCAGTGTATAGGATGGACTAAGCAGGGAAAAACTTGAGGTAAGGAGCCCAATTAGGCTGGCCCAGTCCAAGAGTTTTAACTGGCTTACTTTCTTCTTCTAAGCAAATTTGAACATCCCACTCTAGATCCAAATACCTCCCTCCCCTGACTCATGATACATACAGACATTCTTCAAGGCTTGGTTCTAGAGTACAAGGATTATAAGCATAGATCTCTCAATTCCATTTCATATCTGAACCAGCCAGTGGTTCAATCATTAAATCAATTTCCACTTTTTTTCCTTGTCTCAATACATTTGCCTCTTTTATCTCCCTAACTCTGACTCTTCTTTCTCTTCCCATCTCAGATATCTTTCTCAGCATAGGGAAAGAACCAGAGACATTCAAAGACATATTTGCAGCTGCCTCTCCAACATGAGCCACTGGGGACTAGTGGAATACCTGGGTCCTATTAGACCTCAGAACCTCATCCCATCCCCTTTGGTAGCAGAGTGAGAAGAATGGATTCTGCCTCTACCTTCTCCCATTCCCTTCACAACTGAGCAAATGTAATCTCTTTATTATTAATAGCACCTACCCCGCCAAAGTTGTTGTGAGGATTAGAGATATTTGTAAAGTGCTTAGCGAAGTACCTGGCACGTAGTAGGCATTATATAAATATTAGCTATTTTGTTGTTGTTTTTGTTATTCTACCTCAAACTTAAAAAGACTTGACCAGGGAGGAGCATCGGAAGAAACACGCTCTTAATCGCTTCCTACTAATGTTCATAAGACCTCCTGCCCATTTGGGTCACCCTGAGTATCTGAAAGGCTAGAGAACGCACAGTCGTTCCTCAGGTCCTTCCCTGAGCATAGGTGTCTGTTAAATACTTGGCACAGTGCCTCGGCAAAGGTAATACACTCAATTGCTCAGCCCTATTCTTGGAGTGTAACTTAGTGGTTATGGCAGGGTGCAACCCGGAAATTTTCACTCACTATTCCAGCCCTGAGCAACCCACACTTGACATATACCTCTCTGCCCTCATTCCCCAGGAAGAAGGGGTGGGGCTGCTTTTCTGGGAAGGCTCTACCCGAAGGAGATGGAGAGACTAAAAGTAATCCTTTACCCCTAGGCTGATACCAGGGCCCTTCCCCTTGTCACGACAAGGCTTTCATTACCATCTGGACTATGACAATGGTTTCCTAACAAGTTTTCCAGTCTAATTCATCTTTCATACCTCTGTCAGACTAACCTTCCTTATGTATAGATTTGGTTGTTATTTCTCTGCTCAAAAGTTCTCAATGGTTTGTGTTGCCCACCAAGTAATGCTCTAACTTAACTCTCTTGCTTAGAATTTAAAGGCCCTCTACAATCTGGCATCACTAGATCACAATCCCAGCCATATATCATATTACTCCCTATGTTTTCTATACTTCAGCCAAACTAGAACATTTTTTGCCTCACTAACATACCTCATACTTTCCCTCTTCTGGACCTTTAAGCATGCTATCCTCTATACCTGGAATTTCCTCCCATTTTTGTTGGCATTATACCATCCTCCAAAGTCCAATTAAAATGCAACATTTCCTCCATGAAACCTTCCCTGATCCCTCAAATTAGTGCTGACTTCCTATGAACTTCACATGGCATTTTGTTTTTCACCTGATCTCAAGGCACTTATGTGCACATGGTATATTACCATAATTTGTCTTATCCAGGTAAGCCCACTAGACTGTAGGTTCCATGAATGTGGCATCTATCATCTAAACCTTATATCTCTATTGCAGTGCTTAGTAAGTGTTTAAATGAAAAATAAGATAACAAAGGGCTGGAGGGTTCACCTGACTAGGGGAGAGAACCCTTTTGTTACCTTTCTGGCATCTCTATCACACCCCATCCCCACTATCCTGCATGAAATGAAGGCAAGTTAGTGCCTTTTCGAAAGGCATCATTTCCTCAATAGCCTTGCCCCACAATATGGATGCCATTTAGACAAGATTACACATTAAATCATCAACACCTTTTATCACATATGATGACATTAGTAGAGTAGGACACTAAGAAAATGGAGGAAGGATATTAGGCAAATTTTATTTGTAGGGGAAAGAAAAGGAAGAAGTAGTACTCCAAGCCTGGCTTGCAGTCAAGGAGGGCTGGCCAGGCTGGGTTCTAAGACACAGAGAACTGCCAAGGGGAGGTAAGTGGGTGCTAGTTGGTTGAATAAGAGAACTAGGCACTAGAGTGCCTGAATGAGGGACCTGGAAGCATAAGGGATGGGAGAAGGGTGATGGAGTTGGCACTGAAGAAAAATAGTTCTAACTTCACAGTTATGCTTAGAATCAGATCAAACCCTTCTCCCAATTCCATCCATTCATTCCTTTCCCATTAGAGGAAGGTGAAACTTGACTAGTTAGGCACAGGTCATTAAGACTTCTGAAGTCAAGGTTACTAAAGGACATTTACCACCTTAAATGAGAAAAAACTCCTAATTCAGTCAGCTTCTACCCTCTTTTTGCTCAGAGCTAGAGGATAGTATATGGTCCTGAGACTAGCTCCACAAGAACAAACGGAACTACGCAGGGGAGGGGTCTTTCTCAGGACCCAGTGGAGGAGTTTCTGAAGAGGAAACAACTTTCTGGTAATGAGGTAGCAAGGAACTAGGTTTGGAGAAGAGGTAGTCCATCACCCAGAGAAAGTGGGTCAAAGCTCATTAGCATAACTGTCAACCATTACTTTCTACACTCAGCAGTATAGAACCCAGAATGGGTAAGTCAAGCCTCTTCAGGCCTAGGTGGTATAACATAAAAATTGAATTCCTATTCAATTTCATAGGATTCCTTACTTTGGCTGTGTGTATGTGTACACTGGGGAGATTAGGCGGTTGTTGACCCACCAGTTAAGAGGGTGGAAGGATCAAAATGCATTCTCCTTTCAATAGGAGCCACTTTAAAACAGTTAACTGGGTCAGTGAAACTAATGGTTAGGATAGAATCAGGGCACTGGACCTGTGGCATCACTGATATAGGGAACCCTGGAGTGAGAAAACTCCCTCTACCAATGCAGGTAGTTGGCACCTTCTCTGTGTAGCCAACAGTATTGAGAGTTGTCTAGAACACTTGAAAGTGAGGTGACTTGCCCAGGGTGCCAGGTGTCAGTCTGTGTCAGAAGCAGAACTTGAACCCAGGCTTGGGTTCCTGGCTTGAGGTCAGCTCTCTCTTCATACCACATTGCCTCCGAGTTAAGGTAGTTAAATCCTTCCAGGAATAAAGAGGCCAAAATCCACCCAAACTTGTACAAATTTGCCCTGCTTTGCTCCTTGACACCTTTGACTCCAGTTTATAGTGGAGACAGCCATTGCCTAAGCCACTTCCCTACATCTTTCCCACCATTCCCTGTACCCCACCTCCACCCCTAAAAGTCTGCCTTCCACTCCTCAGTTCATGGCAGACGAAAGAAACAGATGTGGGTGGGAATTGGAACCTTCCTCACCCTAAAGTCATGTCTCATTTGCCGCTGTATGAAAGAGAGGATGGTCCAGTCCAAAGCTACATAAAACATGTTTAATATCCAACCAGGGTCACAGTCATCGCGTATCCCACATTTTGAGCAATAAGAGAGATGGTGAGTTTGTTAAACATGTACAATCTATATTCCAGAGGAGGAAAAAGAGAAAAACCAGTTCAGAACTGCAGTAAACACTGTAACACCACACACAGACTTGGGGGCTGGGGGAATGTCCCCAGGGAAGGGGGAGTCTGGAGCTAGAGAATACAGAAAATTAAATCCACCAGGGGGTGGGGGTAGGGAAGAAGCACTCATCTGAATGAAATGCCCAGTCCTGGGAGAGAGAGATCCAGGACAACAGGAATGCCGAGATGATGCCCCACCCTGGGGATAGGGAGGAAGGCTCCCCAGAGGCAAAAGCAGCCAAGGCAATCAGCAGTGTCTTTTCACAGCCCTCCAAAGTAGTTGGGGGGAGAGGGTCTTCTGAACAGAAAGGTGTAGGGTATGAAGCAATGTCCCCGGGAGTTTCCATAGGGAGGCCCTGCCTCCAAAGGGTTCTCTTTTTCTGTCCCATCACTGCTATTAATTATAAAGAAACCCTTTCAGAAGAGGCTTTGGGATTCAGCTGAGAAAGCTGTTTTCCTATTCTCCCAGGCACATTTCTTCAAAGAAGGAAGGGGAATGGGATAAGATCCTCAATTTGGCCTATTTGGCCTGATCCAAAGCTAGGATAGCTCACGGAGCAGATAAGGGCAAGGGAAATTTTAGAAAGACAAAGTCACCATCAAGTGCAAGGAACAAAGAAATCAGGAGTGCAGAGAGCAAGGAGATAGAGATAGGAAGGAAAGAAAGGAGAAAAGAGAAACAGAAGATAGAAAAGAGACAAAAGAGAGGCAAGGACAAAGAAGTAAAGCAAAAGACAGAAGTCTTAATGCTTTCCTAGGGACAGGGCACAGTTGTTAAAACAGACAAACCAGAAACCCCAACCCCTCCCCATCAACGAACACACAAAGGCCCAGAGAGAAAGACAACTTGCAAACACCCAACACATCCTGAATAAATTATTCACTAAGTAACTGGCAAAAGGGGGAGCTACCCCCAAGGAAACTCTCTTCACAGTTCACTCTGGGAAAGATGAGGGGACAGAGGGCATGCTGACTTGTCTGCTGCAGTGAGGATTCAAGTGGGAGTGGAAGGGCATTCCTGGCAGATATAGGGGAAGGATCTCCTTTCCAGGGGATGGCATAAAAAATCCTATCTAGAGAGGGGCCCTATACTGAGAAGGCTATAGAAAGATTCCCATGGGGGCCCCAACTTTCCAGAGGGAGGGTGTGTTACAGAGGCTGTCTTGGAGCTCAGGGCGCAGCCAGCACACACAGGAGCTCAAAAAGCAGCCTTAGGCTTCACAGAAACCTTGGGGAGACAGGGACAGGGCCTCCTAGTTCACAACTCGGTTGTTTGATACCTCCTGTAATCTTGGGAAGAGAGTATAGCAGCAGGGTTTAAAAAAACACACACACACACCAATGTAATAAGGGTGGGGTGCAGATTAACTTCCACTAGTTCCCACTTACATTTCAGTAACCTTAGATATCAAGCTACACTCCAATATCAAGACCAACTTATGAGTGCAGGAGACAAATGTAGCTGGGGAATGGATAAAAGGTGGAGAGAGTTGACTGAATGCCCAGAAATAAGAATATCTTCATATTTCAGTGGTCCCTCGGTTGGAGAAGCCATGAAGAAGAGGAAAGAGATGGAGAAGAAGAGGATGGAGGTAGAGACAACCCATTTCATACTCTCCACTAAGCAAATCAGCTAGGCTTGGAGAGACCAGCAGCAGGACTGCTGGGGATGGGGAGGATTCATGATTGGGAGTGAGTGAGCTGTTTCCTCAATAGAAATATGTAAATAGGGAGTAGAGGCAGGAGTATGGTGTCTTAGAAGTCACTTATCCAATATGCATCTTCACCTGCCAACAGTCAAAGAAATGAAAATGGAAAGCAAGGCTTTCTCTACCTCCCTCATTCCCCAACTCAGTCCTTATCCTTAGCCACCCCTATCCTTAGTAGGAGAGTCTAGAATTGAAGGGTGAGACATCCTCTCCGAGGCTAACAGTAGAAGAAGAAAGCCACACATTCAGGGAAACCAATGAGAGACTCACCAGCCAGAAGACCAGAAGAAAGAGGTCCAGAACTGACTGACAACAGAGACTCCCGGGGAAACCTAACCCAACCCAGATCAAACCTTTTCCCCTTCATCCTCCTTGGCGAAGTGACAGGGACAGGTGAGGGGAAGTCTTATGCCCTGAACTGTGCCTGCCCCAACTCTGTCCATCTCCCTAGCCCCCTCTTATATATTTCTCTATACATGTATATACACTCACACACACATACACACATACACACATACACACACACATACAGAGGCCCGTGCAATTTCCATGTAGAAGCAGAAGGGGTGGGACAAAGGAATAAGGGAGTGGCTTGTGGAGACAGGGAGGGGACTTGGTTGCCAACAGCACAACAATCAGAGCCAAATCAAGCAAAGGCAGAGAAGCCTCTCCCCATAAGAACTCTGGGGGAGTGGTGAAAATATGGGGGCCACTCCATGAAACCACAACACTCTATTTTGTTTTGTTTTAGATCCAATAAATTGGAGCAAATCATCAGGACAGCAATTGGGAAACAAGACTGATCATGTCAGCTGTCAGGGGGAGTGGGCAAGGCTTTTGCTAGACATGTGGACATGGTACTTGGGGTCCTCACCACACTTACAATGGGGTGGAGAGTGGGAGCATGTTGGGAGGGAGGTGGGGGGTGGGCATTGGCTGGCGCTCACTTCTTGTTCTTGAGCTGGTTGGCCAACCAGTCCAGGCCTTCATATAGCCCATCCCCACTGGTGGCACAGGTGGCCTGGATGTACCAATTACGGTGACGCAGAGAGTGTAGGCCCAGTTTGTCCGTTATCTCAGCAGCATTCATGGCATTAGGCAGATCCTGGTGGACAGAGGTAGGTAGGAAAAAAAGAGATCAGGAACTTTAGGAGCATTTTGTTGAGTTCTTACCTACAAAAGGCACCTTGGATGCCATTTCGTCCTCTAATATTCTGGAGATGCTCATAACAGAAACATATTAAAAAAAATGCCTTGGACAGAGACAACCTAGAGGCAGAATCTCAAGGGTATTCAGACTCACGTCTTTGAGACATCATCAGTAATAAGAAAAGATATTGGTCAAAGTAGGCTTCCAGGCCAGGTGGTGTTATCTGGAAGATCAAAACAACCTTATAGGAATGGGTAAAGAAGCATTAGAGACTGAGGTAATAAGGACCTTCCTGATCCTAGAAGGAGGGTAGGTCTGCTAAAGTAAACAATGAGAAGAGAAGTTTGAAGTAATTCATCTATACCATGAAAATCCCTACAGCCTCAGCTGCTTGATGCCTCAAAATCTGTTAAATAAGATTGAGGTGGGGAACATGGAGAAAAAGAGCTTGGCTGCTCCCTTCTTCCATACTTCTAGAATTGGAACACTTTCACAAAGGTTACTAAGAATGGGTCTCTCTAGGTTCTATGCCACCTATGTTTGGGATAAGCCCTTTTCCATTTGGGTTGGGGCTAGTGGTAGCATATATTCCCACCTGTTTGTTTGCAAAGACAAGCAACACAGCATCCCGGAGCTCATCTTCAGCTAGCATCCTCATCAGTTCCTCTCTTGCCTCATTCACTCTTTCCCGATCATTGCTGTCAACCACAAATATCAAACCTAGAGAGGCAGAGCATCTGCTGTATAAGGTGGAGAAATGGCCATCTTTCTTTTCAACCCCATCTTCTTTACCCCTCTGAAAAATTTTACCCCTCCCCCTTACTCCACCCTGAGGAGTTGCAGCAAGACATGAAGCTAGATGCCATTACTCTGAGGCATTTGTCCACAGATAGGTAGTTGTATTTGTATGAACCCAAAACACTTTAGCCTCACTCTCAATCCAGTCCCCTATACCTTGGGTGTTCTGGAAGTAGTGTCTCCACAGGGGCCGAATCTTGTCCTGGCCACCCACATCCCAAACTGTGAAGCTGATGTTCTTGTATTCAACAGTTTCCACATTGAAGCCTGTGAAGAATCAGACAGGTATAACTAGGAATGGTGCTCCAATGGGTTTATTCCTCCCACGCTTTGGTCATGACCCCAGTGAGAACTGATGTTTCCTGGGTTCCCAATACCCAGGGGGTCCTAAGAAAAAAAAAAGCCAGGCAAGGGTCCAAAAGAGTGAAGGGACAAGAAGGTAATCAGTCACTCTACTCACAACTATCTGAATGATGGTGATTCAAGGTAACTGTCAAGCCCCTAACTCCTTAAGACCTTTATCTATTCTTACCATAGGAAAAGATGAAATAGGATCAGACCCTACAAGTTAGTTGCCTTGGCAGTCTTGTATTGAATGTGGGATGAAATTTAGGAATCTCAAATCCCAAAGCAGCTGATGTTCCTCCACCCCATCCAGTTTGACAAATAGTTTCCCTCCCACTGCCAGCTTTATAACCAGGGCTGGGGCCACAGAGATTCTGCTTCTAAGCCATGCCAAGCCCCTGGCAGGAACATCAAAGTCCTCCACCTGATTTCCAAACAAGACAGAGAGCAAACCAACCCCACTGCCTAAGGGTGGCTACCCTGTGCCAACCAGAGGAAGTTCTTACACGGGGGAGCATGAAGAGTAGGTAATGAACAGAATGGCAGCTCTAACACCTGCTGGGGAACTGCCTTGCACCCCCATGCTTTACAGACCTGTTGGGCATGTGTGTGGAAAAAGGGACACCCTTCCTGCCCCTTAAGCCAAAAGAGTGAAAAACCAGTGTGCTGAAGCTGAAGAATTAAGGGTAGAAGCCTAGCCCATGACTCATACCTATGGTAGGAATGGTGGTAACAATCTCCCCCAACTTCAGCTTGTATAGGATGGTAGTCTTCCCAGCAGCATCCAACCCCACCATCAAGATGCGCATCTCCTTTTTCCCAATCAGGCTTTTCAGCAGGTTTCCAAAGATGTTCCCCATGGTCACAGCTGCTGTTTTTCAACGGGTAGAGGGAGCTAAGTGAAGCAAGGTAGCAACCTGGATATGGCTTGGGCCCTGCTGTTATGAAGGGGCCCCAATTCCTAAGCCAAAAAAAAATTGCAAATCAAGACTTACCACCTGCAGATCAGTACATTATACAGAAGTACAGTTCAATGACAAAGCATTGGCAAATGCTGGATCTCTTTCTGCTTCTAAACTTGTATAAGCTGTTCCATATGTCACCTGCAATAAGATTCTGTCCCTCTTTTCAAAGGTATTCTGCTGACCCCACTATCAGCTCATTTAAAAGTAAGAGCATTGTTTAAGAAGAACATTCCTTAGAAGGTAGAGCAGTGAAAACCATCAGGGAGAGGTACAGAGTGGGTCCTTTCTCCCACTCCTTACTTCATGTCATGGAGTGGCCCCAGGAGTTCCTCTTTAGTAGGATACTGAAAAGAGGGTTCAGAGTTGCCTGAGCCAGCCAGTCGTCTGTGCCTAGGGGAGGCATGTATCATCCAGCAGCTTATTCAGCAATTAACATAGGCCAGATGCTGGCATTCTTTTGGAATCTGGGAATGAGAGACACACACCCCAACCCCAGCAGGCGAAAGAACAGGTCAAGACAAAGTGCATCCAAACACAAAAATTTGAAAGGTTGGGAAGGGAGGAATCCTATTTACAACTTAAAGATCAGGGGTTCGATGAATTTAGTGATTATTTTTTTTCATCAAAAACATCTTCAGTTTTGTATTTTCCTATTCTTTTCAGTTCTCAGCAAAATCTTTGAGGGTAGTGAGACAGATTGACAGCCTCCAGAGATTTAAGTTCTAATTTATCCAAAAGAAGAGAAACAATGAGCATTTATGGAGTGTTTCATCTTCAAAGGCATCCCCAGACATCCACTAATGAGCCAGGCGTGGCATTCTTGGCAGGCTCCCCTTAAGCCCAGCCCCTGACCCAAAGGGCCCACACCCAGGTTTGGCTCAACCATAGGGCCACAGCCAAGTTGCCCACAAGCCACCCAGCCCTATCCAGTCAACAGGATTGAAACCCATGGGTCCCAATCAGTGAGAATCATAAACTCATAGTATTCAGGGCCACACCTCATCCATTGTTTTTAGTAAGCTGTATTCTTGTGATATATAGGGAAAGGAATAGAGAGGTCAGAGGTTAGGAAAAAGGAGAGAAAATGTCTTTAGATTCTCAGAAGCTCCTAATGAGTATGACTTTTTCCTCCCTAAAGTTCAACCAATACTGCCTTACTAAAATCTACCATACTCCTCCTTCTCCCCTTCTCTTATCTCACATCAGATATTTTCCCAACCTATTTTCTTCTTCACTCTGGTCTCAGATGAAGAGGTGGCACTTCCTCCTAAGGCCACTCCCTCTATATGTGTGCCTGATACCCTTTCCCCTTGTCTTCTCCAGCAGATTATATCCACTATCATTTCTAATTTTTTTCTAATCTTATTTCTCTTACCTATTGCCTATCCTTCTCTGCTGCCTACAAATATAGCTATGGGTTTCTTCCCATCTTTAAAAAAATGCTCAGTTGATCTGACCACTCTGCTAGCTTTCATCCACTATCTTCCTTTCCCTTCATAGCTAAACTTCTTGAGAAAGCTGTCTGTACTAAGTGCCTCTACTTCCACCCCTCTATAATTTGACTTCTGACCTTATCACTCAACTTCAACTGCCCTTTCCAAAGTTGCCAAATTTAATGTTTTTTTCCTAATCCTCATCCTTCTTGACTTTTTTGCAGCATTTGACACTGTCAATCACCTTCTGAATATTCTCTCTCCTCTAGGTTTTTGTAATACTGCTCTTTCTTGATTTTCTTTCTATGCAGCCTTTCCTTCCAAGCTTTCTCAGTCTCCTTTGCTAGATCTACATTCACATCATGCCCACTATGTTCTGTCATGGGCCTTCCTTTTCCCTCAAAACTACCTCATCTGGTGATATCAGTTCTTACAGGTTCAATTATCATCTCAGCAAATGATTCCCAGAGCTATATATCCAGTTCTAGACTATCTCCTGATTTATAGTTATGAATCCAACAAATGCCTTTTAAAAACATCTTGAAATGGATGTTTTGTTGGCATCTCAAACTCAATGTGGCCAAAACAGAACTTACATCTTTCCCCTCAAATTCTTCCATCCTTCCAACTTTCCTATTACTGAAGAAAATACCACCATTCTTCCAGTCACCCAGGTTCAAAACCTAGGTATCATCCTCAATGCCTAATTCTCATTCATCTCATATTTCACAGCCCTTGACAAATCATGTTGCTTCTACCTTAACATCTCTTAACAACATTCCCTTCTCCCCCCTCACAGAGTCACCACCAGGCCCTCACCGTTCAGCTGGAACACTGCAGTAGCCTTGTAATTGGTCTCCCTGCTTCATTTCTCTCCCCATTCCAATCCACTGTCCCAATAGCTGCCCCAGTGATTTTGCTAAAGCACAGATGTGACCATGTCACCCACCTGTTTTTTTTTGTTTGTCTGTTTTAGGCAATTGGGGTTAAGTGACTTGCCCAGGGTCACACAGCTAATAAATGCCAAGTATTTGGTCTAAGGCCGGATTTGAACTCAGGTCCTCCTGACTTCAGGGCCGGTGCTCTATCCACTGCGCCACCTAGCTGCCCCTGTCACCCACCTGTTTGATAGCCTTCAGTGGTTCCCTGTAGTATCAAATATATACTCCTCTGTTTGGCATTGAAAGCTCTTCACAATCTGGACTTTCATACCTTTGCCATCTTCTTATACTTTATTCCCCTCCATGAACTCTACAGTCTAGCAACATTGGCCTATTTGCTGTTCCTTGAATACATCTCTATGTATTTGAGTTTTCACTCCAACTCTGCGCCCATATACTGGCTGTACTCAAGTCTGGAATGTTCTTCCTTTTCACTTCCCCCTTTGTTTCACTGACTTCCTTCAAGACTCAGCTCAAGACCTTTTCCAGGCCTTTCTTGGCTTCTCAGCCACTCAACTACAAGTGTCTTCCCCTCTGAGATATGTTATAAGTACCTAGTTATTTTCACCTTTGTATTCCCCATTAGAATGTGAGCTCATTGAGGATAATCAGAGACTATTTTTGCCTTTCTTTGTATTCCAGCACTTAGCAAAATGTTTGGCACACAGTAAGCACTTAATAAAAGCTTGTTTATTGACTACTTAAGAGTGTCAGCATTCTGCAGTGGAAAGCACCCTGGATTTGCAGTCAAAGACTTGGATTTGAATCCTGGCCCTGTTATTACCTTTCTTACCTTGAGCAAGTAACTTCAGTACTCTGTGTTTGTTTCCTCATTTGTAAAATGACTAGATGACCCTTTGGAGACTTTCTAGCTCTAAATACTATAGTCCTGTGGCCTGTATATGCCTGTGGCTCTTGTAAAATTCTGCTGTCTTTCCCCTTCTTTCCAAGTTGCAGATCCAGAAAAGAGCTTTAAATCTTACAGTTCTCCAGAAAAGGAGATAATGAAACTTTACTCATTCATCTGTCCCTAACTAAACAGTAAGATATTTCTGCCTAATTTCAAGACTAACAGAACTCAAGTCTATTTTCAATTGCTATGCCTCAGTGCAGAGAAAGTGACCTATCATGTCCCAAATCTCTTCTTCTGAACATATCATATCCTTTCTTTGTTCTAGATAGATACATCGCAATAACCCTTGGCCAAAATTAGTAAAGATCTGTCAAGACCACATAACTTACATTTATCTTGTCATCCACGTTTGAAGATGCTGTAGCTGACAAAGATCACTGTGTAGCAGCAGTGACTGGTAATAACTAGTGCCAGACCAACACACTTTCCACACTGAGCACATACGGACTTGGTTTAAGACTGTCTCCTGAAATAATTTGATAGCCCAAAGCTTTAAAACAGAAACATTCTTCCTCACTGCTAAATGACAAGCTGGTATGTCTGCTACTATTATATACCATTATATAGCCATATGTCACAGTGGATAGTGCTGGGCCTGAAGTGACAAAGACCCATTTTCTTGAGTTCAAATCTGGCCTTGGACACTTATTAGCTGCAAACAACAACAATAACAACAACAACAGCATGACCCTGGGCAAGTCATTTAACCCTGTTTGCCTCAGTTTCTCATCTGTAAAATGAGCTGGAGAATAAAATGGCAAAACACTCCAGTATCTCTGCCAAGAAAACCTCAAATGGGATCATGAGGAGTCTGAAATGACTGAACAACAACAAATACCTTATTTGGCATCATTTTTTGCATTGTTACCTGTTTCACATATTTTATCCCTTCTGCACTTCATTGTGGCATGGAGGTGACCATGGTTTTAGATTATTACAAAAATTTATTATCAGATTTTTTTTTTAAAAGGTATGCTCACAAAGCAGATCCAACCAGACTGGAAAAAGCTTTGTATATGGGCTCAGGACTATTATATGAGATCCAGCCTAGTTAAGTGTAGCAAAAAAAAAAAAAAAATGGCCATCAGGTTATAAATGTGAATTTTTTTGTTTCCAGGAGCTCCATAATCTATCCACCATGCATGAGGGCATTGCAATTTCCATTGCTGGTGGGAATAATCAATGATGAAATTATAGATCTTTTGAACTGCAAAGGTATCATTAGTTATATTTCCACATGTTGATTGCTTATTCCTACAAATCAGAAGCACCATTGAGAGAGGTACTATGTCTTATATTTTTGGTTTTCCTCCCTTAATGGTCACTCAGGATTTGTTGACTTACCAATTAAAACCAGTTTTTAGAGTCTGTGCTTTACATTTCTTCTACTCTAGCAATTTATAGTCGTCTCACCTCAGCATCACCATTTACCTTGCCATGGTATACTCTTCTCAGGGAAATTGTGTTGAGATGAACACTACACTGGTTTACTGGCCATGTCCTAAAAGGTGATTCACAATTAATGACATTTCTCAACTAGTCAGTTGTGCCATCTGTGGTAGATCCAGGTCTTAGCTTCATAATAATTCACGTCTACATAAAAGATTTTCTTGTAACAACCCTATGGGAATGTATTATCTTGATTTTGTAGATGATAATTTAGACTTTAGACATTAAGTGACTTGCCTATGACACCAGGATTTAAATTC